CCGTCCCGCCCCCTCCCCGGCTCCCCAGCCCTCCCCTCTCCCGGACTCCTGCCCCTACCCTCGCACCATCTCTGACGGCCCCGGTCGCAGGCCCAGGACCTGAAGGTGGAGGGCGCCTTTCCTGTGACCATGGTGCCCGGAGACGGCGTGGGGCCCGAGCTGATGCACGCGGTCAAGGAGGTGTTCAAGGCGAGTTGCCCGGGGAATCTGCGGCAGGGACGGTGGGGTGGGGGTGCGGGGTCGGCTTGGAAAGAACTTAGTTGATCCTGACCCTGTCATGCTTGGGGTCTGTCTCGGAAGGCTGCCAGCGTCCCCGTGGAGTTTCAGGAGCATTACCTGAGCGAGGTGCAGAATATGGCGTCGGAGGAGAAGCTGGAGCAAGTTCTGAGCTCCATGAAGGAGAACAAGGTGGCCCTCATTGGTACGTGTGCCCTCTCGCCTATGTGTCATTTGAAATCAAATGAACAAATATTCATCAAGTTTCCCTCTACACATATGGCTGCACGAACTCTCCCTGAGCTCCCAGCGGTTCGTGACCATTGGTTCCTTCCAGCCGGAACACAGGAGCTGAGAGAGCATGGGAGCTGTCTCCACAGGAACTCGGAGTCTGCCATGGGGCTACACCACGGGTCGTCACGTCTTGTGAATTGTGTTTATAGAATGCTGCTCTGGCCACCGCTTTTCTGCCTTCCCTCTGCGTCCCTCCTTGAATCTCCTCATTAGATTTTTTGGTTTCCAGTTCTGTCCCCGCAGTCCATTTTCTGCATCTCTTCTCTTGGAAAGACCAGCATGACTTTGCCAGGCCCAGCCTTAGCCTAGGACAGTAAGTTCTTTGTACAGTGACTCTCAGCTTTTCTGCCTTCATTTCCACAGGACTTGTTCTGTGCTATGGACTAGGCTGTGTTAGTTCCAAATATATGAACTACCTTGATTTATGCTGTTCCTTCTGCCCAGGATGTTCTGATGCTACCTGTCAGAGTCCTCCTCACTCACTGTCTTGGTCTCCCAGGACTGTCATAACCAATTATCATGCAACTGGTGGCTTAAAATAACAGAAATTTTATTCTTTCACAGTTCTGGAGGTCAGAATTCCAGAGTTAAGGTCTTGGCAGGGCTCTCTCTGAAGGCTTAGGGGAGAACTCTTTCTTGGCTCTTCCAGCCCCTGGTGGCACCTGGCAGCTCCTGGTGTTCCTTGGCTTGTAGATGCATCACTCCAATCTTTGCCTCTGTCTTCTGGCTTTTTCCTCTCTGTGTCTGTGTATCTATTTCTACTCCTTTTTTTGTATAAGGGCTTGTCATTGGATTTTGGGCCCACCCTAATCCAAGTTGATTTCATCTCAAGATCCTTAATTATATCTGCAAACACTCTTTCTTTCTTTTCTTTTCTTTTTTTTCTAACACTGTTATTTAAATAAGGTCACATTTATAGGTTGAGGTATAGACATATCATTTTGGGGGTTACTGTTCAATCTACTATACTCACTTTACCTAAGGTCTGGCTGAAGTGCCAGTCGTTCTGTGATGTTTCCTGATATTACCACAGGGAATTTCTTTGTGTTTCTATGTATGTCGTTAAAATCCTTTCATATGTATATATTTTTTTCATATATATATGT